CCCCAGCAGGCTCCGCCCCTTCCAGCTCAGCCCCAGATGCTCCGCCCCCTCCTGCCTCGCACCTGATGCTCCACCCCCAGCAGGCTCCTCCCCCAGCCTAGGATGGTGCTCCGCGCCCAGTCTGCCTCCAGTCTAGCACCCAATGCTCCACCCCCAGAAGGCTTCTTCCTCTCTAGCCTTAAGCTCTCAGGATGCGCCCTTTCTAGACTATTTCTGGTTGGGGTTCTGGTTTCTTTGTTTTTAGGTGTGGTTTTGTTTTTCTGTTAATTCGCTCGTGTTTCACTGTTTCTGTCCGCCTGTTTTCTTTCACTGCCTTCGTGTTTCCCAATTCTGTCTTTCGCTGTTTTTCTGCTTCTCTGTGTCTTTGCCTCTCTGTGTCTGTCTCCGCGTGTGTTCCTGTGTATCTTGGCCTCTCTCTCCCCATCTCTCCGCGTCTCTCTGTGTCTCCCTCTCTGCCTCTGCGCCTCCCGCCCGCCCGCAGGAACAACAATCTCACCTTCCTGCGGCCGTACTACCAGACAGAGGAGGGCGAAGAGAATCCCTTTATATGCTCCTCGCGCCGGGACAACGGCATGCAGAAGTGCTCGCACATCCCCAGCCGCCGTGAGCTGCGCGTGGAGTGCACGCTGGGCTGGGAGGCCTACGGGCAGCCGCAGGCCGAGGGCGTGGCTGGCACGGGCCGCAACGCCTGCATCAACTGGAACCAGTACTACAACGTGTGCCGCTCGGGCGGCTCCAACCCCCACAACGGCGCCATTAACTTCGACAACATCGGCTACGCCTGGATCGCCATTTTCCAGGTGGGTCCCGGCTCTGCGGCTGAGGGCCTGGGCCTCAGTTTCCCCATCGAGGGGGTGCACCGAGCGTGGGGGGGCCCCGGGGGGTCGGTTCACCTGCCCTGCCAGCCCCACGGTAGGCCCCGAGGGGACGCAGGCGAGGAGGCCCCTGCCACCCTCCCAGGGCCATCCGTGTGTGCAGCCGCCTGCCCCCCCAGGTGATCACGCTGGAGGGCTGGGTGGACATCATGTACTACGTCATGGACGCCCACTCTTTCTACAACTTCATCTACTTCATTTTGCTCATCATCGTGAGTGTGGGCGATGGGGCGGGTCCTGGGGGCTGGGCAGGATGTCTGTGGCCGCCAGCACTAGTGGGTGGAGGTGCCCTTGTGTCGTGACAGCTGACCGCAGACCCCTCAACTCCCCTCTCGGTGGACGTCGCCACGTCCCCAGGCTGCGCCATCCCAGCCTCTGCTGACTCCCTCGGGGACCCTGCACTAGGCGAGCTGCAGGGCGGGCCAGACCAAAAGAGACCCAGGGCTGCCCGTGCTAGGGCCGGGGGCTTCCGCTGAGCTCCCGGTGGGAGGTGGTCAGAGGAGAAAGCCCACCTCCGGGAGGCCTCGTCAGGCCCTCTCACGGCCAGGTCCTGTCTGGAGGCTCCAGAAGTCTCCGGACCGTGTCTTGGGGTCGCGGCCCTCCACGGTGTTCACGAGCCTCCGGACACAGCTCTCTGCAGAACAGGTTGCCCCAAAGGCATGGCTCTCTGGAGCGTAGGTGCCCCAGCAGGCACAGCTCCCTACGGTGGAGATGGGCCTCCAGACATCGTGGTGTCCGGGGCAGGGTCTGTGAAGACCCTGCTGTGCACAGAGACAGGCAGACACCCTGCCTCGTTTCTGACCGCAAGTGTGAGCAGAGGAGAGCATCGCGTGGTGACCCTGCCACGGAGGGAGTGAAGCTGAGGGGTTTGGAGAGGTCCACCCTGGAGAGGCGAGCGGTGGCCACGGTCGAGAGGGTCTCGTCGGGAACAGACCAAGTGGGGAAGGGGGCGAGCCGTACAGGTGACGGGAAGGGGGGTCTCTCCCACCCCGCCAGCCGCCGTGTCCTCCACACGTGCGCAGAAGGGGGCAAGGGTCCGTGCAGCCCGCGGTGGGTGCCGGGGCTCGGCGTCGCATCAGCAAGGACCCCACCCATCCTGGGGCGCTCCCACCAGCCTCACTCGCAGCTGGGTCCTCGGCCACCGTGCGGTGGCTCTCCGGCGTCTCCCCCCGGGGCTCGGTCTCTGTCGTAGGGGCGCCCCGCCCGACCCCGACAGCCTGTGACCCCCTCCCCCACGGCCTGGGTCAGCGGCCGGGCCACAGGAGGCTCACCCCTGCCCGCCTGCCGCAGGTGGGCTCCTTCTTCATGATCAACCTGTGCCTGGTGGTGATCGCCACGCAGTTCTCGGAGACCAAGCAGCGGGAGAACCAGCTCATGCGGGAGCAGCGCGCACGCTACCTGTCTAACGACAGCACGCTGGCCAGCTTCTCAGAGCCCGGCAGCTGCTACGAGGAGCTGCTCAAGTACGTGGGCCACGTCTGCCGCAAGGTCAAGAGGCGCGGCCTGCGCCTGTACGCCCGCTGGCAGAGCCGTTGGCGCCAGAAGGTGGACCCCGGCGGCGCCCTGCACGGCCAGGGTCCCGGGCGCCGGCCGCGGCGCGCGGGCAGGCACGCGGCCTCCGTCCACCACCTGGTCTACCACCACCACCACCACCACCACCACCACTACCATTTCAGCCACGGCAGCCCGCGCCGGCCCGGCCCCGAGGACACCAGGCTGGTGCGGGCCGGGGCGCTGCCGTCGCCGCCCTCGCCGGGCCGCGGGCCCCCCGATGCCGAGTCAGTGCACAGCGTGTACCACGCGGACTGCCACGTGGAGGGGCCGCAGGAGAGGGCCCGGGTGGCGCACACCGCGGCCGCCGCCGGCCTCAAACTGGCCACGGGGCTGGGGGCCATGAACTACCCCACCATCCTGCCCTCGTCGGTGGGCGGCAACAGAGGCGGCACCGGCCTCGGGCCCAAGGGGAAGCGGGCCGGCGGGCCTCCGGGCGCCGGAGAGCACAGCCCCCTGAGCCTGAGGGGCCCTGATCCCTATGAGAAGATCCAGCATCTGGTCGGGGAGCACGGTAAGGACCCCGGGCCCGGCCTGTGGAGAGGAGGGGGGACCTGGGCCCGGTGAGCCGAGAGGAGGCGGGACTCTCACATCTGCTCTGCCCGTGTGCTCCCCGGGGAGGCCCCGGGCCCCTTGGGCCGTGACACGACCGGTGGCAGGGGGACAGCACCTGGTCTATAGCGAGCCCCACGTAGCCTCAGTGCAAGTGCCACGCAAGCATTTGCCCACGAGGGTATGAGAATTTGAGGCTGACAGAACCCGTCAAACCTGAAACATGTGTCCTTTTGCCCACCCCCCCCCCCCCGGCCCCAGGAGGAACCACCTGCCCATGTCTAGAACTGACCACTTTGGAAGAGTGTCTCGTCCCCCTCTAGGTGGGGATGCTGGGACAGGGGGAGGGAGGGAGAGATCACGGAGCCCCCGAGGGCGCGGGGATGTCCCCCGACACACTCACGGTCCCTCCCCACTGGAGCTCCGCGGCACCCACCTCGGATAGGCAGGTGGAGGGACACCAGGTCCCCTGCAGACTGCAGGGCCTTCCCAGGGGGTGCGTGCAGGGTGCGGGCCACGGCGCATCCGGAGCAGGCAGGGCAGGGCCGCCGGGTGCCTCCCGGGAGTGTGAGCTGCGGTGGAAACTGCAGGGTGAAGTCGGGGTGAAGCCCGCCCTGGGTCCCAGAGACTCAGCACAGGAGAGCGGTGTCACGGCTCCTCGGCGACTGTTGTGACTCTTCTGTGTCAGAGTGACGGAGGTTCAGATAGCAGTGACTCGGGACGCTGCAATGAATTACGCCTCGCAAAGTCCGAGACCGTGGCTCGCGTTCTGTTTGCGTGGGTGGCGTGGCTGTGGGGCCGATCGGCCCTCTGCTCCTTTGAACCCCTACCCTTGGGTGTGGGCGGAGTGAGTGTGGGGTGCGCGCGTGCACCCGGGCGTGCGCGTGTGCGCCGTTCACCCCGCGGAGGCCTCCGCCGCAGGGGCGGCCCGGCAGCCTGACCAGGCCCATGTCCTTCCCCCCGCAGGACTGGGCCGGGCCCCCAGCCGCCTGTCGGGCCTGAGTGTGCCCTGCCCCCTGCCCAGCCCCCAGGCGGGCACGCTGACCTGTGAACTGAAGAGCTGCCCGTACTGTGCCAGCGCGCCGGAGGACCCTGACTTTGAGCTCAGCGACTCCGAGAGCGGGGGCTCGGAAGGCAACGGGGTCTACGAGTTCACGCAGGACGTGCGGCACGGGGACCGCCGTGACCCCATGCGGCCCCCCGCGGCGGCGGACGCGCCAGGCCAGGGCAGCGCGCGGCAGCGGGCGCGGCGGCGGGTGGCCCCGGGCGAGCAGGGCCGCATCTGGGCCGCCTTCGGTGGCAAACTGCGCCGGATCGTGGATAGCAAGTACTTCAACCGCGGCATCATGGTGGCCATCCTCACCAACACGCTGAGCATGGGCGTCGAATACCACGAGCAGGCAGGTGGCCGCGGGCCCGCCTGAGGGTGGGGGCGGGGCCAGGGACGGTGGCTGCTCAGTCGCTTGACAAACGCTCCTGTCCCTTTCTGGGACTGGGTCCTCATCGAGTGAGCACGGACACGTGCCGTGCCTCCCGTGTGGAGCTTCTACCCATCTGGGGTCCGCGGAGAGCACCACAGACCTAGCAGAGGCCAAGGGCGTTCCCCAGGCCACCTGGTGGCTCTTCTGAGGATGGGCTCAGCTCTCGCAGATCAGGGCTCCCCTTCCGTGAGTCAGGCCCGCTGGGATGCTCGTCGTGGCCACGGGAGGCCAAAGTGTAGAATGGCCCTCGGGAGCCCGTGGTGGGGTTGTCTGGCCCCCCAGCAGCCATGGAAGCCCTCCTCACCCCCCGCCCTGGACCGGGACCTCCGCAGGAAGGGCGGCAGCCGGGTCTGGCAGGGAGAAGGCGTCCTCTCTAGGGATCAGGCTGGTTCCCTCGGGGTGACCAAATGGAGTTCCTCGTGTCCCATCCTTCGGGCTTTTCCAGAGGTTTACACGGCTTTTCTCGTTTTGGAGGATTTAGGGAAAACCCGAGCATTGGTGGCTTTCCGCGGGCCCCGTGTGGGGAGGCTCTTTTCGGGAGGGTGAGAGCCAAGGACAGGGACATGAGCAGATTTCAGGGGACTCCTGGGTAAGGAAGAGCCTCAGCACACGTGGACACGTGCACACGCCGGTGTGTGTGGTCACGTGAGTGCACGTGGACGTGTAAGACCCACCCGTGCAGATGGGAACACATGTATAGACACGTGTCGTGTGTGCACAGGCGTGCTCACATGCGTGGGAACGTATACATTAGCTCAGGCACACACACAGATAAGTCAGCAGGTCCCCAGTAAGAAGACCTCTGGAACCTCCTGCCAGCAAAAAGGGGTATGCAAGGCCCCCAGACGCCAGGGAAGCAGATGCAAGGCAGGTCCCCCTCGCCTACCCTGGAGCTGGTGCCCCCACGTCCCCGTGGCCTCCATTTGCTCTGGTCTCAGACATGCTGGCAGGGCCTAGGGGAGCCAGTGACGGTCAGGGTGGGAGGGCCAGGCAGGCTGGGATCCGCTTCCTCCTCCAGAGGGCAGCCAGTCGGGTTGCTTCCAAGCCGCTGCATCAGTGTAGTTGAACCCGCGCTCAGATTCCCGGGGGCAGGGAGCCCTCCTGCCTCCGAGGGGTGGGAGCCGTGGGTGGGGCGTGACGGCCTCCCCACTGCCCGCAGCCTGACGAGCTGACCAACGCCCTGGAGATCAGCAACATCGTGTTCACCAGTGTGTTCGCCCTGGAGATGCTGCTGAAGCTGCTAGCCTGCGGCCCGCTGGGCTACATCCGGAACCCCTACAACATCTTCGACGGCATCATCGTGGTCATCAGGTGGTCCCCTGTCTCCCGCCTGGGCCACGGGGCCCGGGACCGCACCCCCGCCCCGCCCCGAGAGCAGAGCCCCAGTCGGAGGGAGAGGGCTTGCGGGCAGTGTTTCTGGCAGGCTGTACAGAGTCACACATCGTGGGCAGGGCGGGGTCCCCTCCCTGGGACCAGGTCCCTTCCTACTGGCGCTGCCAGCTGCACGCAGTCCACCGCGTTTCAGAATGTTTCCAGAATGTGGTGGGGCCGTTCCCTGTGGGGACAGCGTAGACACTCGGCGGCCCTTCCGCCTCCTGGCTGGAGTCCACTCAGGGCTCCGTGCCTGCAAGGAAGGCCAGCTTTCCTCTGGGTATCTGCTGCATGGCGTCAACACGGGAAGGAGTGGGAGAATCTGGGGATACCTGTCTCCCCCAGGAGGAAGCAGGGCCTTCGGGAGTCAAGGGGGCCCCCCCCCCCGGGGGCGACAGGGTTGAGTGGGAGCAGACGAGGTAGGCGGAGCTCGCTGTAAGGAGCACAGGATGGGGAAAGGGCCCCGGATGGAGAAGTTTCTGACCAGAGCAGAGCGCAAGTTCTGGCAGCTGCTGGAGGCCGGCAGCCACCAGCGACAGCAGCTATTTAGATGGTGAATCGCACCCCGCCCCCCCCCCTCACCCGCGGGGGCTCTAGTCGCCTTGACACAGCTTAAGTTCTCAGCCACTGAGGCTCCCAGGCTGGCATTCCTGCTTTGGGAAGAGTAGGGGCCGGGGGCGTGGCAGGGGGGGCGTTCCCCAGGGAGGTAGGCGTGGTCTTCGTGAGGAGGGGGGTGTGGCGCTGGGAGGCGGGGGCCAGGGGCGTGGCGGGGGCGTGGTCCCAACGCGGGTCCGGTCCGGCCCCGCAGCGTCTGGGAGATCGTCGGGCAGGCGGACGGCGGCCTGTCGGTGCTGCGAACCTTCCGGCTGCTGCGGGTGCTCAAGCTGGTGCGCTTCATGCCCGCGCTGCGGCGCCAGCTGGTGGTGCTCATGAAGACCATGGACAACGTGGCCACCTTCTGCATGTTGCTCATGCTCTTCATCTTCATTTTCAGGTGGGTCGGCTGCCGGGGAGCCGTCCTCCCCCCGCGGGGCTACGTGGTTAGGGCACGGCCCGCCCACCGCTCTGCCCCCCCCACCCCGTTTGTGGAGGCTCCGTCCCTGGTTCTCTGTTCAGACTTCATTGGCTGGTCCTCCGTGTGCTGGCAGGCCCTGTGGGAACCCAGAGTGGGCTCCGCTCTGCAGGCTCGCAGCCGGGTGGGGGGATGGGCAGGACCCCCAGATAGATGGATGGATGAGGATCTGTGCCCCAAGGAAATCAGGGAAGGAGTGGGGGCAGCCTTCACCTATGTGCTGAGCACCCACTGTGTGCCAGCCTGGCGTGGGGTCAAGCCTCAAGGATGGGCTGGGGCAGAGAACGGCCCAGGCAGGCTGAGCAAGACAGGCCCCAGTTCCTCCCACCCCGGTCTCCGTCTTCCCACCTGTAGGATGGAGGTGGCTAGGCCATGGGCACCGGCAGGAAGGCCCCTATAAAGCAGGAAGCTGGGGACCGGGCCAATGGGGAAGGCGTGGAAGGGCAACCCCTGGGGGCAGGGATGGCCACGTGGCGCTGCACCTGCTCACCTGCTGCCCACCTCCCTGCCATCCTGTCCTGCCCTTAGCATCCTGGGCATGCACCTCTTTGGGTGCAAATTCAGCCTGACAACGGACACCGGAGACACGGTCCCCGACAGGAAGAACTTTGACTCCCTGCTGTGGGCCATCGTCACCGTGTTCCAGGTACAGCCGGGGTGGGCAGGCATCCCCTGACGGGAACGGTGGTCCCCGGGAGAACCCCCCTCCCTGCTCGGGGCAGCCCCAGCATGTGCCTTGGTCTGTCTGAGGCCAGTGCGGTGAAGCCGCCCCCCAGGGCTCCTCGGCATCTCCAGCCCCAACCGGCCCCTCTCTGCAGATCCTCACCCAGGAGGACTGGAACGTTGTCCTCTACAACGGCATGGCCTCCACCTCCTCCTGGGCGGCCCTCTACTTCGTGGCACTGATGACCTTCGGCAACTATGTACTCTTCAACCTCCTGGTGGCCATCCTGGTGGAGGGCTTTCAGGCAGAGGTGAGGGGCGGGAATCCCACCAGACAGACATGGAGAGCGAGCGTCGTTTGGCCACCACACCTGCCCTTGGCAGTAATCTCGGGCCGAGCCCTCCCGGCTACGCCCACCTCCACGCCAGCCTAGCCCAGGGAGGAGGCCTGCGTCGGGGTGTTTGACGCAGATGGTTCCTGTCCCGGGGGAGCCTCACGTGTGTCTCCTGTTTGCGGCCGCAGGGTGACGCCAACAGATCCGACACGGACGAGGACAAGACATCCGCCCACTTGGAGGAGGACTTTGACAAGTTCCCAGACTCCCGGGCCACGGGTGAGCGTTTGCACCATGGGGGTCGAGGGGGTGCCGTTCACCCCATCCTGGCCTAGCACGGGCTCCCGTGGGCAAGTTCTAGGGGGCACGTTCGCTTCCTGGAAGCTCTGCAGGTACAAATCCCCGCCTCATGTCTGCAGAGGTGAAGATGTACCCACTGGCAGTGACTCCCAACGGGCACCTGGAGGGCCGAGGCAGCCTGCCCCCTCCCCTCATCATGCGCACAGCGGCCACGCCCATGCCCACCCCCAAGAGCTCCCCACACTTGGACCCGGCCCCCGGCCTCCTGGAGTCGAGGCGCGGCAGCAGCGGCTCTGTGGACCCCCAGCTGGGCGACCAGAAGTCACTGGTAGGGACCCTCCCCTGCCCCGGCTCCAGGCTTCACCCACGCGGGTCCTTGGGGCCTTTCCCAGTATGAGCGCGGGTCCCGCACGCGCCACAGTCCCACCCCGTGGGTCCCCATCCCCGAGCAGAGGAGACAGGCGCTCCGTTGTCCCGTACGTGGAGCCAGAGCGGCAGCTCTTGGAGACGGAGCGTGAGCGGAGCACACGTGGGAGCGCGTGGCGATCCCTTCCTCCCCGGCAGTTCGTCTTCCCGACCGAAGTGAAAGATAAAAGCCGGTAGAGCACAGGACATACCTCGGGAGGGCAAAGGAAAGGGACAGCAGGGAGGGGACACGTGACAGAAGCCGGGGGGTGGGGCTCCCCATGCAAACCCAGGAGACGCCGCCCCAGCAGGCACAGTCCACCCTGCTTCCAGAAGGCGGGGGAGGGGTGGGGAGGGGGGGCAGAGTGGGAGAAGCTAGCCGCCGAGGGGAAGCCAGGGGTGGGCGGGGCGTGTACGCGCAGGAAAGTCGAGGCAGAGCAGGAAGGTGGGACGTAGGGTGGCCATCACCGAGAAGCGCTCAGCCGAGCAGCAGCATGGCGGCCTGACTCATCCGGCCTGGATGCTGGGGACCGAGGGAGGGGGACAGGCAGCGTCGTGCTGGCCCCGGGGGGTAGAAGTGAGTAAAAGCAGAGAGGGCGAGGAGGCAGAGGCAAAACCCCTGTCTCTTCTGAGACAGCAACTCAACCGTTGTATAAGTCCAGCGGTGGCCAGTTAGCTGATTTGGGAGCCCACCCAGCAGCCCTACCAGTGTCCGATGACATCTGGCCCAGTGTTGGTGCCGGGCTTGTTGATAAGCACCACTACCTGCTCTCCGGGCCAGAATGGTCAAAGTTGCCGAGTCCCGATCCCAACCCAGCCCCAGCCCAGCCCCGGCCCTGGCTCCAGCCCGACCCCAGCCTCAGCCCGGGTCAGCCCAAGCTCAGCCCAAGCTCCAGCCCCAGCTCAGCCCCAACTCAGCCCCAATTCAGCCCCAGCCTCAGCCCCAACCCCAACCCAGCCCTGGTCCCAGCCCCATCCCAGCCTCAGCCCAGCTCAGCCCCAACCCCAGCCCCAACCCAGCCTCAGCCCCAAACGGGCCCCAGCGCAAGCCCCGGCCTCAGCCCCAGCCTCAACCCAGCTCAGCCCAAGCTCCAGCCCCAACTCAGCCCCAGCCCAGCCCCGGCCCTGACCCCAGCCTGAGCTCCAGCCTCAGCCCCAACCCCAACCCAGCCCCAGCCCCAGCCCTAGTCCCAGTCCCAGCCTCTGCCCAGCCCAAACCAGAGCCTCAGCCCAGCTCAGCCCCAGCCTCAGCCCCCATCCAGCCCTGGCCCCAGCCCCAGCTCAGCCCCACCCCAACCCCGAGTCCCAGCCTCAGTCTAGCTCAGCCCCATCCCAGCGCCAGCCCCAGCCCCAGCCCCAGCCCAACTCAGCATTCCCAACACTCACTGGCTGTCTCAGGCTCTTCGTTGACCGGCTTTGTGCCACAGGCAGACCACTAAAAAAGCAGTGTGCTCGGTGGTAGGGTTGTGTGCGCGTTATAGGAGGTGATCCACAGACAGATGCTGTCAGCAGGGTTAGTAGTAATGCAGCTGGTCAGGAAAAGCCCCCGTGGCCAGGTGCCCAGGGCCTGGGACGTCTCAGCGGGGGGCTGGTCCTGCTCACTCCTCACCCCCCCCTACACACAGTCCAGCCTCCGAAGCTCGCCCTGCGCCCACTGGGGCCCCAACAGTGCCTGGAGCAGCCGGCGCTCGAGCTGGAACAGCCTGGGCCGCGCACCCAGCCTCAAGCGCCGGAGCCAGTGCGGGGAGCGGGAGTCGCTGCTGTCCGGGGAGGGCAAGGGGAGCACGGATGAGGAGGCAGAGGACGGCAGGCCGGGGGCGGGGGCCTCGCCGGGGACGCGTACCGTCCCGCTGCGCCGTGCCGAGTCCCTGGACCACCGCAGCACGCTGGACCTGCGGCCCCCGCGGCCAGCCGCGCTGCTGCCCAGCAAGTTCCACGACTGCAACGGGCAGGTGCTCGCCCTGCCCAGTGAGTTCTTTCTGCGAATCGACAGCCACAAGGAGGACTCGGCCGAGTATGATGAAGATGTGGAGAACGTGAGTGGGCCCGTCCTCCACACCTCCCTCCTGTTTGGGTTTGTTCCCCAAAGCAGAGCCTGAGGCGGGGACCCAGGCCCCACGTCACTCGTGGGGTCTCCTGGTGCCCCAAGACAAGTGGGTGGGGAGAGCAGGACAGGCTGAGCAGCCCTTGATGCCGGGGACACGGCCTCAGCTCATCCACCCGGAGCCCTGGAGCAGACTGGCCCCGGGCTCGACCCTGCGCCCACCTGAGGGGTGGTTCCGAGCCCTGAGCAGGTCAGCCCCTGGCAGGCAGCTCCTCAGATGCAGAGGGCAGGGCCACCTTCTCAGTGAGGCCCTTTCTCGGGGCGGTTCTGCAGGATGGGGGCCAGCTGGGGGAGGGGTCCCCTGGACTCCCAGCGGGGGTCTCTGTCAGTGGGTGGGGAGGACCAGGCTGGAACTACTGGGACCCCAGAGACAGAAGGATGGGGCGGGGCCTAAGGAGGAGGGGGGCCCTGGGTGTGGGAGGGCCCGCGGTGGGGGGCGGGGGCAGGCTGGGAGGGGCCCTGAGGACCTGCGTCCTCTGCCCCCAGAGCTGCTGCCTGCGCCTGCGCAAGGTGCTGGAGCCCTACAAGCCCGCGTGGTGTCGGAGCCGGGAGCCCTGGGCCCTGTACCTCTTCTCCCCGCAGAACAGGTGAGGGGCACGCGGCGAGGGGCTGACTGCGCCCCCTGGGTACACAGTGAGCGTCCCTGGGCCTCGGGGTCTCTTGCGCCCCGGAGCTGTTTTCTCTGGGGCTGTAGCAGCCACGCGGTCCCTGGAGCGGGTCACGCTGCCTCACGTGCCCAACCGCCCAGGTTCCGGGTCTCCTGTCAGAAGATCATCGCCCACAAGATGTTCGATCACGTCGTCCTGGTGTTCATCTTCCTCAATTGCATCACCATCGCCCTGGAAAGGCCTGACATCGACCCCAGCAGCACCGTGAGGCGCCCTTCTGGCCGGGGGGGGGGGGGGGGGGG